TGGTATACCACGTCGGGCCACGAATTACGTTTTGGGTTTGCGCGCAGATTTGATAGTAGAAGATAGCGGTAGGAGTAATCGTACACGTGCTTGTAGTAGTAGTAGTAGTAGTAGTAGTAGTAGTAGTAGTAGTAGTAGTAATAGTAGTAGTAGTCGTAGTCGTAGTCGTAGTCGTAGTCGTAGTCGTAGTCGTAGTCGTAGTCGTAGTCGTAGTCGTAGTCGTAGTCGTAGTCGTAGTCGTAGTCGTAGTCGTAGTAGTAGTAGTAGTTGTTGTTGTTGTTGTTGTTGTTGTTGTTGGTGTTGGTGTTTGTGTTGGTGTTGTTGTTGTTGTTGTTGCTGCTGCTGTTGTTGTTGTTGTTGTTGTGGTGGTGGTGGTGGTTGTGGTGGTGGTGGTGGTGGTGGTGGTGGTGGTGGTGGTGGTGGCAGCAGTAATAGTAGTGGCCGTACTTGACGCACTAGTTAGTAATCGGAGTAGTCGTTATCGCAGTAGGCGTAGCATTTGCAGTCGCAATACCAGTTGCTGTAGTGTCATAGTAGTAGAGGCGACGCTGAAAGTTGACTAATACGACCTAACCGTACTACGACGATTACTTCTTGTGGTATTACGATTATTGTTTCCTATGTTATCGTTAGTTTCTTATACTTTTACTGCTGCTTTACATCGTCTTCAGTCGTCGTCGTTGTCACCGCTGGTCGTCGTTGTCGTCGCCGCTGGTCATCGTCGTCGTCGTCGCCGCCGGTCGTCGTCGCCGCCGTCCTGGCCGGTCGTTGTCGTTGTCGTTTTCATCTTCCTCACCGTTGTCGTTGTCGTCGCCGCTAGTGGTCGTCGTCGTCGTCGTCGTTTTCGTTGCCTTCTACCCGTATTCCTACTGCTGCGAGTTCTTGGGCCAATCGCGGCAGCGCCGCGCCCCCTGGGCAGGTTGCGGATGGGGAAGACCTACGCAGGCGGCGCTCGCATATTCCCCCAGCCAGAATGATTCTCAAGTTGTCAGGAGGGGCATCCATCGGTGCGCGCGAGAGAAATTCAAGCCGCCGCTGGCGCAGCGAACATCGCATCATATCGCCTTTCGGAAGGCCGCGAAGTTGGAAAGGCTTGGTTGCGTCGGCGCGGATGCGCCGCCAGCGGACAGGTCAGCATCCACATTGTTTGCGCGTTCTCGCGAAGGCCTAGGCGGTTGCGCCCAGCGGATCCGCATATCCAGGCCCCCGCGGCGTCGCCGCTCATGCGCGGGCCCGCCGCGGGCAGATCCACCGACGTGGCTCTTGACCCCCATCGCGCGATCGGCGCGGCGCGCCAAGCTTGCGCCCTGGAGCGGGCCGGGCAGGCGGCGAGTCGGCGGGGGCGGGGGCCCAGGGCCAAGGCGTCGGCGCTCTGCGTGCCTTCCCGGGCGCGGCGGCGCCCAGGGGCCCGAGCCGCGCGTTGCGCGCCGGGTGCTTGCGGGACTTCCGCGCGCTCTACGCCCCGACGATGAGCGAGGCGCCATTCGATCGGGGCATAAAGGAGGCGTTGCTCGCATCCTGGCCGGAGTACATTGCGATCGGCGACGTTTCCCGCATCCTGCGCGCGCCGCTGAGACCGCCATTTGGGGGGGCCCGCCGACGCGTGGACTTTCAGCGCGCGTTCGAGCGCGCCGAGCGCGCTGCGCCGCTCGCGGCCGCGGGCCGCCGCGGCAGAGACGGCCGCTCCTATAGCGGCGAAAGCCAGCGAGGCGACCGAGGGCGCCGGGCCCGAAGGCAGACTGCACCGCAGAGCTGGGCCAGTCCGGGAAGTGGAGGGCGCGGAGCGGGGGGGGTCACTGGCGGGCGCCGGGCGGCGCCAGCAGCCGCGCTGCGACGGGGCGCGAGGCGGCGGGGCGGGGGGTTGGGGGGCGGCGGCGGGGCGCGGCAGGAGAGCCGCGCTGAGGGCGAGGGCCAATCGGCGACCGAGGGCGCCAGGCCCGCGGGCGGACTGCACCGCGCGGGCGCGGGGCCAATTCAGGATGCGAAGGGCGCGGAGTGCTGGGTGCTTCGGTGGGGCCCCCTATGAGGCCGCGAAGCGCTGCGCTGGCTGTGCCTAATTTGGTGTTTCGGACGGCGCTCCCAATGGGGTCGCGGAGCGGTATCCCGGCTGGGTGGAAATGCTGCATTGGGTTTTCGGGGCGCATGGAACGCTGTGCTGGGCGGGCGAAAATGCCAGATTGGGCGTTTCGGGGCGCGCGCGGGCGGCGGTACTGGAGCCTTCGGTGGAGCTCCCCAAGGGGCCGCGAAGCGTCGCACTGGGTGGGTGAAATTGTTGAGGGGGGTGTTCCGGGGCGCATCGGACGGTGGCGCTGTGGAGGAGCGCATGGAGGACGGGGGGAGGGGGGGGGGGGGAGGGGGGGGGAACGCGGGGGCCGCCTCTTCAAAACGAGGAGGACCCAACGCCACTTGATGGTTGGGAATGAAGTAGATATAGAGAGGGGAGAGAGAGAGAGAACAAAAAACATAACTACTGAAAGAAAAAGAGAGGAAGGAGAGAGAGAGAGAGAGAGAGAGAGAAAAAAAAAAGAAAAAAAACAGTAAAAAAAATAAAAAAAAACAAGAAAGAACACAAAACAAGCAAGGGAGGGAATGCACGCGCGACGAAAGCCAGGGCGACGCACTGTGCTCAGAGAACAGATATCACAGGTGCGGCGGAGCAAAAGCTGGGCCATGGCGCAACCAGCCGGTGCACTCTCACAATATCATTATGACGACTTCCTCCCTTTCTCCCTGTGCTGGTGCAAGGGGCTGGACTGGGCGAGACCTGCACGCGGATGTGGCCGCATGTCCTTCCAGCGCTCGGCCCTCCTACCTCGCGCGGCTGGTCACGCCAGCCCCCCGCATGTGTATCCAGCAAGTGGGCCCCAAGCGCTGCTGAAGCTTTCGGCAACTGGCTGCGGACACGGCGGCGGCGACGGCGACGGCGACGGCGGCATCGGCGGCGACGACGACGGCGGTGACGGCGGCGGCGGTCACCTTCACCGCCGCCGCCGCCGCTTGCCGCCGTCGGCGTCGTCGCTGTCGCCGCCGCCGTCGTCGTCGTCGTCGTCGTGGTCGCCGTCGCCGCCGCCCGTGTCGCCGCCGCCGCCGCCGTCGCCCCCCCGGTCGCCGTCGCAACTGACGGCGACGACGACGACGCACCCGCGTGCACGCTCCAGCCATCGACCCATGTCTCAAGGGCCTTGTGCCTGTGCAGGGAGCTTCTGCTTCCTTCATTCCCTAGGCTGCCGCCGCCCCGCGCGCCCCCGCGGCACGTGGTTTACATTCCGCACAAAAAAAAACCGTACACAAGCTTTGTGGTGCACACATGCCATGTGGTATACAGGCGCCACGGTTCACACTCCCATGATGTACGCAGTCGCAATGGAGTGCACAGGCGCTGGGGGCTCAACAGGTCCGAGCGCTTTTTTCACGAGAAAAACTAAGATCCACACGCAGCTCACATAATGAAAGGGCCACGGTTGGGCCCCGAACGATCTTCTGGATTTTCGCTCCGCCGGTACCTTACAGGTGTACACAAGTTTTGTGGTGTACGCTGGCATTCTGGTGCAAAGACGTGGCGTTGAAACAGCAGCTGTGGTGCACGCGGGCGCCGTGGTGTGCACCAACAATGAGATATACAAGGGCGCTGTGGTGCACCCGCCTGTCATGATGTGCTCAGTCGCTGTGGTGCACACGCACATGCCATTTCTGCCGCAGTTGTGGTGTACAAAGGCATCGCGGTGTACAGAGCCTGTGTAGTGTGCACAGGCACGGTCGGCTTCAACGACGACGACGACAGCGACGACGACGACGACGAAGCCTACCGTGCCGACGGTTGTGCTGATAATAAGTACCAGGGCCCGTGCGACGGCCCCGCCGCGCGTTACCGTTACCCCCAACTTGGGGCCGGACCCCCCCCCCCGAAACGGGCGCTACCCACTCCCTATAAGAACAAGCTCCAAGCAGCGGTTCGGAGCAACGCCAAGCAATGCCAGGCACTGACTCCGAGCAGTGCCAAACACCGGTTTCAAGCAATGCCAAGCAATGTTTTCAGCAAAGTTTGGCATCGCGTTCGATTGCTCAGAGTTCAGAGCTGTTTTACTTGCTCTGGAAGAGAGAGAAGACCGCTACTTGGGTAGCGCTCCTCTCTCACTCCTTTCTATCATCGGGCCCCCTCGGGCCCCGTGGGTGGTCTCGACTGGACTTTGTCCAGAGCTGCACTGCGTACCTGGATGTTTCGCCTTCCTGACGGTGATCGCTTGCACTGCTTCGAACTCGCCCCGCTAGCCCCGCGTGTTGCACCGCAACTCTAATCAGCGAAGCTTTTGAATGTTCAGAATGGGGTTTGCAGCAACAGTGTCTGTTCATTTTGAGCGTGCCATTTTGTTTTTGATGCAGACCGCTTTCAAGCGCGATTCCGTGACATACGCACCTTGCCGTCGCAGAGCCATGGTCGTACATTGGCTGGATGTTGTTGCAATTCTAGTTGTAGGAGGATGCAAGAAAAGGGTAATTGGGGTCGCGCCGGGTTCATGTGCCCCTTGGGCCAGACCATGGGGTCTCCAACACGGCCCGAGAGGCCCTTCAAGAGAGCCCCATGCTGGTCCGTTGGGACCATCTCAAGGTGTTGCCGTAGGTTGAGACCCGCGGCCACGCTCCCGATGGCTTTCGAAAAGTCACGCGGTGATTTCCAAAAGCGCCCGTTAGCGACCGGATACAAGGGTTTCGGCCCTTCAAGAAACGGATGACACTCTTTTCAGTGCTTCGCGGCACGGTTGCGGATGATCCCGTTCCCGCGTCTGCGGTTAGGAGATTGGTTTTTGCTTGCTCTGTTCCGATTCGTGTTGGCTCGGCGGCATTCCTTCGTTGGCAAACACCAGGCTTTCAGATTCACAGTGCGCGGCTCCTACGGCGTGGTTGCCGCAGCCCTCACATGCAATTCGAATCTCCACGCGGTTCCGAGGGAGGAGGGAGGGAGGGAGGGGCGTACCCAGCTGCTCAGCTGCCCTGGCGCGGAGGCAACCGACAGGCTGTTCTGCGAGCTCCTCCGCCGCTCGAGGCGGGCGGCGCCTGACCGCCGCCTTCTGCTCCATCCGCCATCACGTTTACCGTCGTCGTCGTGTCGTCATCGTCCTCGTCATCTTCGGAGGTGAGCTCTACGAGGGAAGGGCAGCGGTAGCGGCATCGCTTCCGCCTCTGGCATGCGACATTCTCCCTCTGTCTCCCCATCCCGGCCGACCTTCCCCCTCCGCCTTCCTCCCCCTCCAACCCCGCGAGGCCGGAGGCGACGGGGGCAGCGGGGTGCGGCGGCGCGGAGGCACCCCCGTCGTTCCTGGAGGCCCGCGCGCTTGCAGATGCCGCTCCGTCTACAACAGTCGCCGCCGCCACCGCCGTCGCCGTCGCCGTTGTCATCGTCGTCGTCGTCGTCGTCGTCGTCGTCGTCGTCGTCGTCGTCTTCGTTGTCGTCGTCGCCGTGCCGTGGGCGGGCGCGTCGGCGGCGAAGGGGGCGACGCGTGTGCCGCAACTCCCGCCAGCGTCGGAGAGGGTGGGCGGGGGAGGAGGAACACCAGGAGGAGCAGGAGCAGGAACAGGAGGAAGCAGGAGGAGCAGCAGAAGGCAGGAGGAGGAGGAGGAGGAGCAGAAGGAGGAGCATAATGAGGAGCAGAAGGAACAGGAACAGGAGGAGCAAAGCAGGGGTAGGGTGCGGTGGAGGAGCAGGTGGAGGACCAGTAAGAGCAGCAGCATCAGGCCCTGCCCGCATGCGGCCGCACCGGGCCATTGCAGCTGGTCTCACTCGGCAGCTCCAGGCGTGCCGCGCCGAGGTTGACCTTGAGCGCACCGTGCCAGAACTCGTGCGTTACGGCAGGGACAGGGCGGTCTAGAAGGCCATCCTGAACTTGCTGGTCACGTTCCCGGGCGCAGTGCGGCCGATGCACGTAGACGTGTCCATCCGCTCGCCGCGCGCTACGAGCATGTTGACGCACGCTTTGGCGAGGCTGCGTCTGCGGCGGCGCGGGACAAGCGGGCCCAGGAGCGGATCCGGTACGGGAGCATCGTCGTCCCAATCGCTTTCGAGGCTTTCGAGTCCTACGGGCGGATCGGCGCCGAAAGTTTGCGTTCCTTGGATTTGCTGGGCAGGGCTCGCCGGGCGATGCATTGGGGACGTTGGGGTGGCGCCGCGGCTGCTTCTGAAGTGTTGCGCCGTCCTGGAGCGCGTGGTCCACGAACTTCTTCATCCAGCTCTGGGGAGTGAGCGTCGGCCTCGAAGCCTTTACAAATATTCTCGTTTGTGTTTGCTGAAACGGAGGGATTCCCCCCTCCTCATTGGGCGCTCTCTTTCTCCCCCATACGCTCTGCAGCCATTGCGAATTTGAGCTGCGCAAATGCGTGGGGTCCGCGCGCGCGGCGCCGGCCGTGTGCTCATGCGGCCCCCAGGAGGGGGCCATCTTATCACCCTGGCGGGAGCGGTGGCGTGTGGATCCCCAGAGCTCCCACGCCCGCCCGGGAGCCAGCCCGCTCGCGTGGCTGGGGTGGCCGCAGGAGGGCCCCCTCTCAGCCCGCGGATGGAATCGGTTAATGACCTCTCCCCCGCAGCAGGGGTGCTCGAGCCCACGGAGGCCGAGGACTTAAGCTCGCGGGGCGGAGAAGATCGACCCAATTCGGGGCCCTCGGCGCAGGGCGACCCCCTCCAGATACCTCCCGCTCTCGGGGCCGGAGGACTTTGAAGGCGGAAGGGCAAAGGCGAGAGTTGGCGAGCGTTTGTCCGCGGCCGTTGGGGCTCTAGCGCCCGGCCGCCTATGTGCCCGCGTCGCGCCGCGACGCGCCGTTCGACGTTGATGCGGAAAGTGCCCCCTTGAGGTGTCACCCTGCCGCTTGCGCGGCCATCTTTTCTCTCTTGCCACATCGCAACCGCGACGCGATAGGCCTGACCGAATACTATGCCGAAGGCGCAGTATTTGGTTGTGCCTACAATTTCACTTTTAACTTCGTAGCGGAGATGGCCGCTGGTGGCCAGCTCTGCGCGATCTGGTGAACAACTGATATGGCGGGCCATCAGGGCGCAGTGGCTCTACGTGGATGAGACCATGGCCATCGCAAAGACATGTGCACTGAAGCTTCTGCTCGCGCAGAGGTCTCCTACCTGGGCCCAACACTTCTGCGCTACTATACTCCTAAAGTCCACCCGCCAACGCCAATCGGCAATTTCTTTGGATATACCATGCATGGTAATATGCGTTATGTCAGCGCATCACCTGCACCTCGTCGCTAGTTGGCGGCAACGTCTGCTAACAGTAGCAACCCGCAACCGACGCCGACCTACGAGGCCATTGGATTAGCATTATTTTATGTGGCGTCCTCTGGGTCGCTCTCGGATGTGTTGCTGGGCGCGCGCAGCGAGGTGCAGGCGGCGCGCGCGCTGCCGGCCCCCGCCGGGGCCCAGCCAGCAACGTGCATTTCCGCGAATACGGTCGCGAGGTGCGCGCCTGGCTCAACGCGGCCGCAGGCGCCGTGACTCCCCGCCAACAGGCCGCTGCCGAACTGCGCGGCCTTGGAGGTCTTGCCGGGGCCATCGCCACGAGAGCCCCCCCCCCCCCAGCAGTGATTAACTTTGGAGTGAACGTTGGGGGGCGCCGCGCCGACGGGGCAACCAGCGCGACGTTCGTCCCCGGCGCTAAGTTCGGGAACCTCGAGGGTGGAAGACAACTGAACTCAGGGGGGACTCTCATCGATGTTCGTTCCCATGCAGGAGGGCGGGTCGACCAGGCGCTGGCCCGTTTCGAGATTGCGCGCTTCGAAGCTGACGCTGCGGGGCTCAACGTCCCAAGCTTCCAGATCCGGACCGCCGCGCTGTTCAGGGCCCTAGATGTTGGCACCTCTCGCGCGCAACAAGTGCTCCTACTGCAACCGCTGAATTACCACATTCCAAAGACTCAGCGACACTTCGTCTCTTTATTTGAACGCGCGAGAGTTTGCGCCCGCATTGCTGAGCGGGCCCTGTCAATATTGGTGGCGTCTCGAATCGCGGCCGCTGCGCCGACGTCTCCCCCGGCGACGCTCGCGCGGGGCATCCCGCCGGCGCAGTCTGGAATGGCAGCCCGCGACCGAACGAGGCCGCCATTTCATTAAGACAACAAGGTGGCCAGCCTTCGGGATCGCAGGACCCCCCGGCTCAGTGCCGGGGGCCGTCGCCCGCGGCGGCCCCTGCCGACGCGTCGCCAGATGACGGCGCCGGAGGCGCAGACTTCTTTGATGCGCCTGCGCGCCTCGCCGAGGGGCAACAAGCGCAATGGGCATTCTTTGGCCAGCTGGAACGCAAACGACGATGGAGACGCTCCACGAAGAAACCGGCTCGGAGGGCACGACGCGCGGATCGACGCGCGCGAAGGTCAAGGGGCAAAGGTCAGGGCAAGAGTAAAATGCGACGGTTGCATGGGATCATGCTAACATTCTTGACGCCCCTTGCGGGCCCAGAGTGCGAGGGCATCTCCCTGGCCAAGGGCAGAGGCCGCAGGCGCGCCGCTGGCGCGGGTATGGGGCGCGGGGGCAACCCGCAGGATGCCGGCGGGAAATCTATGGGATGTGACATTTGCCATAGCACCCCGCATTTTCGTCGCGAGTGCCCCGGGGGTGACGGGGGGGGCAAGGGGGGTCCGTCGATGCATATGGCTCAGACAGATTCTGATATTCAGAGCGTTGATTTAGAGGCGCTCTTAGCCGACGCAGCCGACGCCCCCGCCGCGGCAGTCCATTTTCCGATTGCGAGGCATGTGGGCGCCAGCGTGCCCCTGGAGCGGCATGCCGGAAAGCTTGGCGTGAAGGTGTTCTTCGGCCATGGCGAGATCAACCCGGCAGATTGGTTGGGCCCCCCGATCGCGGGGCAACCTGCTTACGTGGAGATCATGGAGGAGGGCGAGTGCCAGTCGTCGGCCGACTCCGATGACGAGATGGCGGGGGCACCTGCGAATTCTGATTGATGCGGGCTGGGCGACTTTGATGGCGATGTAATGCTGGCTACGCAGGTGATCTAGAATCCGATATGCGGGATAACCCGCGATGATAATACCATTTTGCGGGGTAACCCGCGCGGCGCTGGTGAGCTCCTTCAGCGGGATCAGTGCGCGCTCGGACACAATGAAGTCTTCCACTCGTCCATTGTGCTACACGAGCGCCCCTCGAGCCGCGGGTCTCGGGGGCGCGCGGATCGAATTGGCGACGACGAACAGTGGGGCGCTGGGGGCAATGGGCCGCGCCATCGTGCCCGGTGGCTCACTGCCCGCGCTGGTGATACCGAAGAGTGGGAAGCTGAAAGCAATCCGCCGCGGCGCCATCGGAGCCACTCTCGCAGGCGTTCGCGCGCCCGCCCAAGCGACGCGCAACGCCGACGCGGACGCGATGCGAGCGGCCCGCCAGCAAGTGCACAGCCGCGGTGTAACCTGCATCAGGCCGATGAGGACTCTGAAGAGTGCATGGACGAGTCGGGCTTCAAAAAGGTCGGCGACTATAACGACGGCGCCGCCCGCCAACGCGCGCCGCAGGACTGCGTGGAACCCCACGCATCTTAGAGTCATGATTTTTTCGCGCCGCCCGCCTGGCTTGATTATCTTGCGCTGGCTCGATTATGCCACTCAACAACCGCTGGCGCGATTATCGGCTCATGTTGAGTTAACATGGGCCATGTATAGAATCAACACACTAGTTATACTAGTCAACATTCCATGTGGGATCGTTCGCCCTCCAAAAACTTCTCCTCCAACCTTCGTATCCTTCTCGACATCTGATTTTTAGCATGATGGTGTCATTCCTCCGATAAACGGATCCCCTCGGTCGAGGAAGCGGAATATTGGACGAGGAAGAATCTGGAGGGCCGGGGCCAGGCCGGGGAGAGAGGAGGGAACAGTGGAAAAGGAGGAGGAACAGGGGGGAGAACAGGAAGAGGACAAGCTTAGAAAGGAGGACAGATCAACAACAGGAGGAGGTGGAGGGGGTCGCCGCCCCAGCTTGCCGCGCCGCGCGCGCCGAGCACTCGGATCGAGTGCGCGACGCGCGGCGGCCGACCCCGAGGGCACTGGCCACCAAGCTTATAGTTTCCCTTCCTCCTCGCTCCTCTTTCCCCCCTTCCTTTCCCTCGCCCTCCTTCCCTCTGCATGATCCTTGCCCTTGCCCTAGGGCTCCTTTTCCTCTTCTACCCCCCGCCTGCGGCCGCCATGCACGTGATCGTGGACCTCGTCGACGAGGCCGCGATCCTCCTCCTCATTAATGTCCTCCTCCTCCTCCTTCTCCTCCTCCCTTGTTCTGCTCCTCCTGCTCCTCCACTGGTCCTCCTGCTCTTTCTCCTCC